ATATGTTATATGAAAATATTAAATGAAAACGTACGAGGGTTTTTGTGTCGACCAATTATTTGGTGATTGAATTCCGTCAGAAATCTTGTCAAAAATTCTGCTACACAAGCCTGTTTTATGAAATCGTGTGAAACTGCAAATTTATGCTATCAAATATCCCGAATTATTGTTGAATTCTAGCACACAGTGATTAATTCTATCACACAATATCTGTACTTCAGACATGCCACTTTCGTATTGCATTGTGGCGTATCAAAAATATTTTGCATTTATCGTGGCATTAGCAGTTATTAGTTATTAAATTTGTGTTCATCCTTTTAAACATGAATGCTATACATTTAACTGTTGGTCAAATAATCACTGTTCTTAAACAGTTGTGTAGATATAAGTATATACATTTTGAAACTGTTTCATTAGAAGGGACTAGTTAATTGAGATTGAACTTTAGCAGATTTTTCGGCAGAATTGTATGCGCGAATGTAAATGCCTAGATACAGTGTACTTATCTGGATAGGAGGTCGTCACAACGTGACTGAACTAGCTAGTTTAGTTCAACTATGATATAAATACATATTCTACGTTTACATAAGGGCGCCATCTACAATATATTTCATATCACTAATGATCTACGACGCAGCAATTAGCAGTTCGCCACCAGCATCGGATATTTAGATAGTAGCCAGACAATCGTGTCTACAGCATAATGAGATTGAGCTTAGTGAGTCTACACAGGTGCCTGGCGTTGCGCAGGGGAATACAATTCGAGTCATCGCTATTGAGGCCTCTTTGGCATTATTGCATCGCATTGCAGCCTCAGTATAGTTGTGCCCTTTCTATCTCCTAACAGTCCATTACAAATGAATTTTTGCAATGCAAGCCGTCTCAGGGTAATGGAATCACATTAGGGTAATTCAGTCACATTATACCACAAGTTTGTTTTCCCCGTTTTCCCCGCTCACAGGGTTGTTTCGAATGATATTTGTTTATTCAAATTTTAGAAAATTACCAAAGGTCATATCAAAGAGAGCTAAAATGATTCTCACTATCAAGTTAAGCCCGAGGTGGATACAATTGAGATACCAAAATAACGTGAACCATGTGTAAATGGTTCAATTATATTAATGTCATGAACATACACCATAACATGATCTTTCAATAGAACGCATCACGCAAAAAATATGTGACACATTTACACCATATTTAAACAATTGATGGACCACCCTGTATGTTTTATTCTCACTTTATTTCCATCTTTCATCATGAAACTGAGCGATGACAATTATGGAATATGACAGATCAATATTAAGTTGCGGTAAGGATACGTTTTGAGTTTTAACATGGCGTAAAATTTTGAGTGAGTTACGTTTATTAAACTTATTTCCTTATGTTGTGTGTAATACATTATTAATAGAGACAGAAACAACCAGGGTTACATGCACTTGTCGACGATTCGCGCTAACAACCGGTGCCTTTATTCAAAACCTGTTATCATCTCCGGGTCACACACTTTGATGTCCATATATATTTCACTTACTGTCTGTCATTTTATTTGTTATCTTTTATTCTCTATTTCTAGAATCATAGATTGCACAGTACAGACTTGCACTGCCAAATCGAAAATAAAACACTTTTCCCGAGCTGCGTCTAGGCAATCAGCATGCACTATATGAAATGCAACACATTCAGCTCTCCCGTTTAAACATATTCTATTTAGATTGTTTCAAGCTGAATAGTTTTCTACTGACAATGGTTAGATTGCATTAGCCACCCTATTCTAACTTCATTTATTAACGAGGAAATACAATTTCTTATAATGTAAATTAGTTCACTCTCAGATATGCGATTAGAAACTGCTAAATCAGACAGCTAAAAATAGCGCAATATAACACACAATCAAAAAAGGTCGTAGTGCTAAAACGATGCAATCGTGTGGAACCTAATACACGTGAACGATATCCAATTGTAACTGCTTGATGCTTCGGCATTCTTGTTCGTTGTAGTGTGAAGGTTTTAAGCTGCTGCGAATGCACCTTCGCCGATTTGATATACTCGGTTGCATTACTGGGCATCTCTATGTTTAATAGTACTGGAAGATTAGATTGCGTGTTAACATTTGCAAATGAGACTATGAGTAATATGTTGATGACAAAACTATAATACACATACTCGTGCCCAGTGGATATCAGAATTATTTGGATTCGTCGTGACTATTGCGTTCATGAATAGATTTGTTCTCACGGTTATCAACCGAACTCTTTATTATTTTCTTAGAAATATGTAAACTGATAATCCACTTCCAGGTACCATGTGTATCGCCGAAACACCTGCTACGGTGCTATTTAATTGGAATTCAGTCTCCAAGGCTACGAAATGATGATGTTATTTGATAAACGAACGAGCTTATTATATGTACAGGAAGACAGTCATCCTCTCTCATGATCACCTAAAATGTAATAAGTTATACAATTATGCACGTTTTGCTTACTTAACCATTTATTGACATCAATATATGATATAAAAAACGTATAGAGCAACATGCTAAATGTGCTAGTTGTAATATAATAAATTGCTTGAAATAATTGACGAACAATGATTCAAAACCTGCGATTTGCCCAAATTGATAGATAGACTAACATTACCCTAAGCATTCTACACCCACATATGCATCTCATTAGCGTAATATGATATGCAAAATGAGTCGTGACACTCAGATAGTATTGAGGAATACACACATCGTGACGATATTAAATCACGTTAGACGCACATCATGGCACCTTACCTGAAGTGTGACACATTCCATAAAATATGTTTAGTTTATATTGGAAATATACAATGATATGGTGGGTTAACCAATTCATAGTTTCGTAAGTATTTAAGACATACTATTTTATGTATACAGTACCCCAAATTTGATTTTGAGGCTATTACATGTTTGGTTTCACAGCTTATTATGATCATTCCTCTATTCTGAAAAACAACTTGTTTAAAAACATTTAGCATTCCAGCTGTAACAAAAATTTTACCCAACTGTCTAATTTACATGGGTTATACAAAGTATTTATAATATTCATTGGGTTTTTCCGATATATTTAATTTGCTTTTTAACGGTATTTATCTCTTGGTTGATG